AGTTTTCTGTTTGTGACATTCCACTACCAGGGGTAGGCACTGTTTAGGCTTCTCTAAAATGATCCTTTCAGAAGCAGTCAGAAAATATTAGGGAATTAAACTGGATGAGAAAGACTTTTTGGCAGACAGGGATGATTCTAGATATTTACAGAACTGAGAAATTTTTATCAATGTTTTGGAGAACATTGTAGTAGAGTTTGGAGGAAGAATCAATGGTCAAGGCAGCAGGAATTCATGCCAGGATGATTAACTCATGGGTTACTGGAAATTTCAGGGAATATATAAGTCTGTCATTGCACTCAGTGTCATACCACCCATTTCGACTGCAGAAAATAAAAGCACATCAATAAAGCTTACAGTCCTAGAATTTAGCTCAGTGAGAGAGCACTTAAAGTAGAATGAGTGCAGCCCTGGGTTAGATCCTCAGCACTGCAAGTGAAGAAGAAGAAGATTGTACGTGGTTTTACCTTAATTTTTTGTATGTGTACGTTGATTGTTCTTGAGAATTTCTACTCTTTATTTCATCACTTCAAAGCAAACAAATCACCCACAAACAGGAAATTTTTTTTTTTTTTTGGCGAAACTGGGTTGAACTCAGAATACAGTTTGAGTCTCCATTTTGCTTTGGTTGCTTTGGAGATGGGATCTTGAGAACTATTTGTCCAGGTTGGCCTCCAACCCTGCATAATTCTCCTGATCTCAGCCTCCCAGAGGTGTGAACCACAGGCATCCAACCTGAAAAAATTCTTAAAGTATCATATTTCTTATTGCAAAGTGACCCAGACTATAGGTCAACCTATTTCCAAAGTTAGAATATTAACAACTCAAATATTTATTCCTTTGCCCTATTAGCACTGAGAAGTGATGTTTACATTTTAAACCAGCAGACTCTACAAAGGATGATACCTTGAATATCTTTATCTGACAATTGGCCCTGTCAACTTTCTGGGAATGGCAATGTCATTGACAAGACCAAGCTTGGAGGAGCAGAGTCTGAGTTAATATAAATTTTAATATTCAGTGGAGTAATCTGTTTTACTTTAATCTTTGGCTTACAAACATTTCTATGAAGAGTTTTTAATGGTACACTTTACTAAAAATGAAAATATTTTTTCTTTGTTCATGTAAACTCAGCCCATTGTTGAATAAACACTGGTAGCATCCACCCTGCATTAGTTACCTTTCCTGTCACCGAGGCTGAATGCCTGTCATAAATAACTTAAGGGATGAAAGATTTATTTTAAGTAATAGCGTCAGAGGTTTCAGTTCACCATGGTGTGGTGGAGCAGAGCTGATCAACACCTAGAAGCCAAGAATCAGAATGGAGCAGTAATAGCAAAGGGCCAGGGCAAGATGTATTCCCCCAAGGTCAAGACCACAGTGGCCACTTTCTCGAACTAGACCCCACCTTCCACAGTTGCACCACCTCTCAATAGTTTATTCAAAGTTTGAATTCATTATTAGATTGGACTCCTTATGATCTCTGAAAAAGCCTTCATAGGCCCAGATGTGTGCTTTGCATGTTTCTTATTTAATCATGAAGACAATCAAGATAAACCACTGTACATCTATTTCCAATTTATTAATAAATATCAACCTTGATCTCTACATACTTAATCTGCATGTATTCTTTGATCTAAGACCTATCTTGTTTGACCTATTGCTGTTTTTCTGAATACCTCATGGGTGAAAGAAGGTAATGATGTGACCACCAGGTGGCAGTAAACCTCAACTGGTGAATAATATGCAGAGTTCATTTCAGTGGATTAAGACTGAGTAGGCAGAAGCAAACCCTTTTTGTTCTTGGCTGTCTGCCTGAGTAGCCACTATAACTGTTAGAGATAAAATGCAACAACCTGATTACAGAAGTACGTCTCCTGGCAAGAGTTAACAATTCTATAACTGATCTTAATTGTAAGAACAATGAAGACATCCATTCACACTTTATTCCTGTTGCTGTGGCTGTAGCTAGATTGTGAGTTGAGGATTTGGAGACAACAAAATATATGAGTAGATGTCCTTTAGAGATCCATCAATAAATCAGTTTTATTCAGGTTTCCTCTAGCTACTGCAGAAAAAATGAGTCTTAGAGTAATGACCTGACAACCTTCCCTTCTCTCTCTCTCTTTCTCTCTCTCTCTATCTCTCTCTCTTTCTCTGTTTCTCCCTATCTCTCCCTCTTTGTGCATAGGGGTGAGCCCAGAAGAGAAAGTGGAATAGCATCCTCTACCCTGCGTGTGCAGGAGGGAGACCACTCTCTTATCAAATGCACTTACTTGACAGTGCCTCAGCCTACTTCCCTTGGTACAAGCAAGAACCTGGAAAGAGTCCCCACCTCATTGTTGACATTCTCTCAAACAAGGACACAAATCAAATACAAAGACTCACAGTTTTATTGAACAAGACAAACACTTCTCCCTGCACATCATAGGCACCCAGCCTGGGCACTCAGCCGTCTACTTCTGGGCAACAGGAGCACTTCACTTCCCAGGCTCCTGCAACCTGTCCTCAAACCTGCCACTGTGCTGCAGCCTCACCCTTGTCCTTCTTGTATAGCATTGGAAAATTGTTTGTTTGTAAGTGGTAAGTATCACACAGACAGTAAAAGTATATAATAAGCTTAGGCTCCACATTTCACACAGTCTTCAAAAAACATTTTTTCTGTTAAGTAGAGTAAAAGCATACCAGAGATGGCAGAACCCTTAGAAATCATGTAGTCCACATTCAGTTTACAAAGGAGAAACTATATGCAAGATGCCAGTCAAAAACATCAGTAAATGACTGTAAGTAGAAAAAACTCCATTTCCTCACTGAGCATTCTGGCCCCTGCCTCATTCCTGCAGCACCTATTGCTGAACAAGAAGAAACTGCTTAACCAAAGCCCAGCCACTTTAACCTCTGCTGTTTGGGTCAGGAAAAGAGTAGGTCCAATCAGTTTGGCCACCAGAACAGAGTGGTCCAGTTCCTGTAAATGTTTGACACAGGAAGGAGTCCTAGGATGAGCGTCTGTTCTCCCACCAGAAAATCAGTCAGACACTCATTGGCTGCTGTGGAGTGAACCAACAGTGATGTTGCGTCCCACATGCTGTTTAGCACTTTTCTAAAAGTGACAATGTACATTAACTAACCTGGGTGGAAGTCCCTTGAAGGAAGGATGCCAACATAATAAACATCCCTCCCACACTGTTAGCAGAAATTGCCACTGAAATTTAAGCATTAAGGGACGTATTGTCCTTCTGCAGCTGGCAGTCCATTAATATGCTATAAAAATCTTTTCTTGGATACCATAACTACAAAAGCAAATATTTGCCTGAATTATCTGTCTCTAAGAAAAAGAAAATTCACTGAATGAATGATTTGAGAATTCCATCACATGGAGAATGGGTGAGAAATGAGAAGAATCATAGAAAAGAGAAATATTATATATGTGAAAATATATTTTACTTGTATGCACATGTATTTAAATATTGAATTGATGCTCATCACCACAGCTGGTCAAAAATCTTCAAGTGTGTGAGATGTGAATGAGGGATTAGATTTGTTCTCTATAACTCTTGGAATGACTAAGAACAATCACAAGAAAGGAATTCCATTTCTGGATATGAGATCATGTTTATTTGCCAGAAATTGTTTATCATGGTCAGTTCTTGAGGGTCACACTTTTATATTATCCTTGTAACACACACAGGCAATATTTAGGTTCCCTTGGAATTATTCTTTACAGAAGTAATCAGAAAATATCAAGACATCAAGTAAATGGAAATGCTTTTTGGCAAAGGAAGATAAAACTAGAAATGTATAGGACTGAAATAGCTTTTCAATGTTTTTGGGAAAAGAAAATTATAGTAGAGTTTGGGAGGAAAAACAGTGACCAAGGAAGCAAGAGTCCATGCTAGAAATGTTGCCTCAGAGGTTAGAGGAAATTTCAAGAAGGGTATAGGTCAGTCACCGAATTTGATCAATGATCAAGGCAGCAGGAGTCCAGGCCTTGAAGACTGGTTCATAGTGTATGGGAAATCCAGGAAGATGAAAGTAAGATATCGCATCTTAAAGATGCACTATCCATTTTCATGGCAGAAAATAAAAACACATCAGTAATAAACTTACATGTGGTTACATTTTTCAAATATGTGTGATGTTTTTTGAGAATCTCTATTTTTTCTCTCAGCTTTTTGCCAAATACAAGCTGCAGAGCAATAGGAAAAGATTTCTGAATGCATGCTAGATTCCTCAATGCAAATCAATCCAAATTATGAATTAAACTGTTTCCAAGGCTGGAATACTAATAACTCAAGAAGTATGCTCCTTCTCCTTTCTCAATGAGACGTTACCTTTACTTTTATCACAGCCCTCTTTCCTAAAGGAAGGTAACTCAGTGTGACTGTTGGCTCTGTCCCGTCTCCAGGAAAGGCGAGGTGATGGGCTAGACCAGACTCGGAGGAGCAGAGCCTGTGATAATATGCTCTTAAAATGTTCAGTGTTCCTGTCTCTCTTATTTTGAACTTTTGTTTACAGAGTCCTTTTAGGCCCATGAAAAACTAATCTTGAAGGTAGACTTAATTAGAAAATTCAAGTTTTTTCCCATGTCATGAGAGTGAGTCGTGGTGCTTTCTGCTTTCTTGATTTCAAACATTAGAACTCAGTCCATCGTTGAATAAAAAAGAGAAAGCATTCATATCTTCTCAACTTATTAATAATGACTGAGTAGTAAGGGAAAATACTCACTTTGATATATATATGATTATGGTACATTTATTATTTGATCTAAAACATACCATTTTGTGTGTCTGAGTCCTGTATAGGGTAAGTGAAGAATGTTTAACCAGAGTTCAGTAGTAGAAATGTGACCACAAGGTGGCAGAAAACCTCAGCTGATGTACAATATGCAGAGGGTTCATTTCAGAGGATTCTGAAGGAATAGGCTTAAGGTAGAATTCTTATTGGCTAGGTAAACAATTCAAGAAGTCAGTGTAATTGTAAGAGATAAAAGGGGACAATTTGCTACTATTAGTGGCACTCCTGACTAGAGATTGCAAGTCTACAATTGATGCTAATTGAGAAAAACAATGAAGACATTGATTCATGAGTTACTCCTCTTCTTGTGGCTGCAGCTGGACTGTGAGTTGAGGATTTGGGGCAAGAGAGTATGCTAGTGGATGTCCTTTAGATATTCAAGGAAGATATAAGTTTATTCAGTTTTCTCTAGTTGCTGGAGAAAAAGAGAATTCTGGAGAGTAATGACCTGACAACCTTTTCTTTTCTTTCTTCCTTTCTGCATAGGGGTGATCCAAGGAAAGAAGGTGGAGCAGTATCCTTCTGTCCTGAGTGTCCATGAAGGAAACCACTCTGTTATCAACTGCAATTACTCAGACAGTGGTTCATACTACTTCTCTTGGTACAAGCAAGAACCTGGAAAGGGTCCCCAGCTCATTATTGACATTCATTCAAATCAGGACACAAACAGTAAAGACAGACTCATGGTTTTACTGAACAAGAAGGACAAACATTTCTCCCTGCACATCAGTGGCACCTGGCCTGGGGACTCAGCCATCTACTTCTGTGCAGCGAGTACACATTGCTTCCCAGGCACCTGCAACCTGTCCTCAAACCTGACACTGAAGCTGCAGCCCTACCCTTGTCCTTTGCCACTGACTATTTCGTACAGCATTTGACAGTTGTTTTTTTGTAAGTGGCAACTATCACACAGACATTAATAAATGTTATAAGATGATTAGGTTCTTGGTGACTCAAAAATGGTTAGAACATTTTGTTGGCTGATGGTTTACAGGTTATTTACAGGTTATTTTCCTATTTTTTATTTTATTCATTATATTTTAGGTGTACTGCATGATGTCTCCCTATACAGTTTTGAATTTGAAAAACAAAAACAGCTGAATGAGGACATGCATAGGACAAGGTCTGGGGGAACGAGCACAGAGCCTCTGTCCTCTCCAGCATGCCAAAACAGGCACATCCTTATGTTCTGTGATCCTGAAACTGTAATCAATGGATTCTTAAAAGCAATTAGGATGTTTTTCTTGAAATGTGTTCTGCATAAGTGTGTTCTACATTTACTACTCAAATGCCTCCACGTAAATAACTCCTTAGTTATCAATCTTCACCATCTGTTATTCATGGGCTTTTGATTTTTTTTGAAAATTTCATGTTTTTTTTTTAGGATTAAAAATTATTACATGCACTTGGGTTCTGGTACCTCATGCCCATCCTGGAGACTTGGGACGCAGAGATCAGCAGGATCCATGGTTGGAAACCAGCCCTGGAAAATAGTTTGCCAGACCCTGTTTCAAAAATGCTTTACACATGAAAGGGCTGGTGAAGTGGTTCAGGTGGTAGAGAGCTTGCCTAGCAAGTGTGAGACCCAGAGTTCAGATTCCAGTACTACAAACAAAGGAATACATGCTAAATTTAGAAAATGTGAATAATACAAAAACTAGGAAATTATTGATTCTGTACCCAATCTTTTATTAATATTTTTTAAGACTACAAAGAAGTAGAGATGTAGGATCAAGAAGTCTACAGATACAGTGTACAATATAGATCATACAATATAAGATTTTTGTTAAGTACATAAGTTTTAGCTATTGCTAAATGCTCAAAAGAGTGACAGTATAAAATTACACCTGTTATTTTAGAGCTGATAATTTGTTTGTGTAGTAAGCTCTTTACTTCCTACATTCATCCTATAACATGAAGTTATATACCTCAAATAATGAACAATAAAACTTATTTTTATAAAGTTTTTCTTTCCTGTTGTCTTTGTCAGTAAAGCTTCATCATTATTAAATATATTCCTAGACATTTAATTTTTACTACTGCATTATTCTTTCTGGCATATGCTTAAAATTTTATGTATATTTATTCACCATCTTGCTCAACTCTCAATAACAGTTTGGAGAGGGAATTTGGACAAATGATTAATTTACAGAAAACCTCCTATAAATCTCTCTCTCTGCCTAATCTTCAGGTTTGGACTGGATCGACATTGTTATCACCATATTCTTCTTTCAAAAGGTTATGTTTTGTGCTGAAAAAAAGTTGTATCCCACCTCTGGTCAGGGGTAAGCTAATCAAGATCTCCTATATTCTTACTAAGGATGGATATAATTGACCATTGGTATGGTGAGAATGATCCCTCTTGGCTGATTTATGGATATTAGTCATTAGTTGATTGGTTATTTCTTATAGTCATTAGAAAAGAGGTTTAAAATATCTGAACATGTAGCCCAATCCTCAACTGATTTTCTTACATCCCGTCACTATACAATGAGCTCCTGTCTCAGAAAAGCAAGCCAGCTCTTGATTGGTCCACTTCCTCCAAGTCTGGTAATGAGGTAAGAGGGAAACATGGCTTATAATTTATTGGCTTTTTTATTGGTTACAAGAGAGAGGCTATGATTATCATAGGTTTAATTGTCATATCTTCTTCTTTTTATTCTACTTTCCTAGCCATTGTCTCCTGCCTCTTCCCTCAGCCAGCTTTTTTTTTCTTTTATTATTCATATGTGCATACAAGGCTTGGGTCATTTCTCTCCCCTGTCCCCACCCCCTCCCTTACCACCCACTCCACCCCCTCCCTCTCCCCCCCACCCCCTCAATACCCAGCAGAAACTATTTTGCCCTTATTTCGAATTTGTCATATCTTCTTAAGATGACAATATTTTGCATGAAAAAAAATCCTTTTGTAGCTAGAGTGTATAGCATCAAAACCCAGTTATATCGGATTTAGACAAATTTAAACTTTAGATGCTCACCATGGATGATGTGTGTTTTCTCATTTGCCTCTCTAACAAGCCTGTTGGCTAAAAACAACAGAAATATTTTTCTCTCATGGCTGAGACCTGAGGTTGAAATCAGTTTCCCTGAGCTGGAATAGAGATACTGGCAGGGCTGCCCTTCTCAGAGACTGTAAGAGAATCTGTTCCTTGCTTCTCCCAGCTCTGATGGCAATGAGCATTCGGGCTGCATCAGTTCAGTCTCTGCCTCCCCAGTGACACTGACATCTCTTCTGGTGTCAGCTCTTTCCTTGGCTCCCTTTTACAAGCGCACAGGTGATTCTATTTCATGGTCATCTAATCTTTGATATTCTTCCCTCTCATATAATGACAGACGGAAAAAATATTTAGGTTTGTTACACAGCAATGGCTTTTAGAGGTGAAAGGTGGCATTAGTGTAGTTATCACCTCAAGTCATATTATACCTGAGAAAGTTATTTTATTATTAATTTAATATAGTAGGATATATTACAAATATATAACATTCTACCATTGTTATGAGAAAAATATCACTAAAAGGAGAAAAACAAAGGGTTGCAAAAGAGAGTGTGACCATTAGTGGTTCCAATCATATAGCAAGCTCAGTTATGATAGTGTTCAGTGGATTGTCTATATCATGCAATTACAGATTTGTTTCAAGGCTCCTGAGTTAGCTCTATTCTCCTCTTACTCTTCTTTTTCCTCTGCTGCTCATCTTCCTCCTCTACCTTGTCCTCCTGGCTTGTTTCTTGAGATAGTAGCTCAAGGAAACTTTTTCCTGGACCACAATCCTCCTATTATGCCTCCAAAGTAGCTGGGATTACAGGCAAGAGTCACCATGACTGGCCATAGCCCTCATCTTCTCTGAACAGTCTGCTCAAACATTCTGTGTACACATTTTATGTGGAGAACATTTAAGTTTCTGTTACTTTGGGATGGGTGATGTTATATTCCCAGGTACAATGCAATCATGGGTCAATTCCTTGTACTTTACTTGCTGAATGTGCAGGAAACAGTACCCAATTAGGTTATTTCAATAGGGTTCACAGGTGTCTTTTTCAGGAATTATTTTCAGAACACCAAGTCATCCAAGTTTAAGTCACATAAATGCTGATTAAATGAAAGGTCAGGAAAAGCAACCTGTTGGTGAGTTGAAGGGACTGAGCATTGTGAATTTATCTAGTTAAGATTGCACAAGAATAGAATATACATGGTTTGGGAGTTACTTGTGCCCAGTGATCAGTTCACACAAGCTGACATAGGACTTTGTGAAGAGGAAGCACGTGGGGCAGAGAGCTAACATTAATTTACTGCCGAGGCCATACAGATTCAAGGATACAGGAATTCATTGCAGTCTTAGGGTTCTATTTGCTGTCACCAGATATTCAGCAGATAGGGAGGTGATGATGAAAAAACTTAAGTTTCTGAGTGATGACAAAGCCTTATATTTCTGTCCTACAGAAATATTCTGCCTGTGTACAGGATTTCAGCTATCATGAGTACAGTGGTTGACAGGAGAGTGCTTCAACCTAGGTAGCCCAGATTAATCAATCTATGATTAGTAGAATATACTGATAACCCACACGGGGAATGAAATGTTGTGAAGTACTGTGGGAGCTATCAAATCATTCCCTAGGACCATACTCCTGTTAATATCCCACCTTCATTGATTTTATGGGATTTTGTTGGTTTCAGAAATATATGAAGTGGCCACATTAACTGTCATTCTGGGAACATTTTCTCAGTGTTCATTTAATATTGAAGTCAATTTGTCTCAACTGTGATGAGTTCTCTGGAAGTTTTATCAAGAGTTCATTAAAGAACTCAATGTAGCTCCACTTTTCTGTTTTTGGAAATATATTATCCTCATTGATGAAACAAATCAAGTGTTTGTAGTTTTTCTTTACCATATTGGGACCAAAGTTTCTGCATCTGGGATGGACTTGTGTAGTGTTTCCATGGATTTGTCTGTACATTGCATAGCAGGCCCTTGTATAAGGACTATAGTCAGAAAGGAATGCTTAATTTCTCCTGATCATCTGCTCATTTATTTTCCTCTAACTTCTTTATATTTGTCTGCCTATTTTTGTTTATGTATGTTAATGGTATAAAGAGGTTTCACTGTGGTATTTACAGACATGCATATAGTGCATTAACCACCTTTATTGTTTCTTCTTTTCCATGTTGTTCCACATCCACTATTTTCAACAGTTTTTAGTAGGCTTCATTATGCCATCTTCCTACACAGATACAAAGTATTCAATATTATTACCCTATCATATTCTTTACTCTCTTCCCCTCAATGATCCCCTGAAATAGTCCAACAGTTACATTAGTGTTATCTATCTATCTATCTATCTACTCTAAATTCTGAATATGAATGAAAACATTTGTTTTTCTGAACTTGAATAATTTTGATTAACATGATGACTGCAGCTCCTTATGTTTTCCTGCAAGTGATATAATTTCATTATTTATGGCTGAATAATATTTCATTGTGTAAATACACCACATTTTCTTTATCCATCCACCTGTTGGTTGGCACCTAAGCTATTTCCATATCTTGTCTATTGTGAGTAGTGCTGCAATAAACATGGGTGTACAGGTGTCTCTCTTGTATCCTAATACATGCCCAGGAGTGTACAGTAGGATCACAGTGTAGTTCTTTTAGGTTTTTTTAGGAAACTTCATACTGATTTCCATAGTGTCTGTGCTAATTTACATCTCCCGTAAGCCTCCATGCCTGCGTTTGTCATTGCATGTGTTTTTGAGTTTAGCCATGCTAACTCAGGTGAGAAAAATCTAGTGCCATTTTGATTTGCATTTCCTTTATGGTCAGGCATGTTGAACATTTCTTCTTCTTTTAAGAAACATCTGTTCAATTCATTTGGCCAATTATTAATTGAATTGGTTGTTCATTTTGGTGCTCAGATTTTTGAACTTTTTATATATTCTTGTTTAATCCCTTGTCAGATGAATAGTTGGCAAAGATTTTCTCCCATTCTGTAGGCTGTCTC